ACATTTCATATTGTTAGAATAACCTATGACAGATATGCACATCCTGAGCTCTTTGTTGAATTGTTCTGTGTTTGGAGAGATTTTGGTGTTTTGAGCAGCTTGTTCTCCTCTGATTTAAAAGATTGTTTGTCCTCCCTGATCCCTTTTCCTCACCAGCCACCCCTCCCTTTCTCCTCCCCTTAGGAAAGCTGAAGGTAAAGCCCCCCCTGCAGGCCCCGCCGAGCTGCCTCCTGAGTATCTGACCAGCCCACTGTCCCAACAGTCACAGGTCATTATCGAGAAACTATAAACAGAAATTGAGAATCTGTAGTTGTGGTCAGACTGGTCATAGCTGAAATAAATCTGTCCGTATTAAAGGACAGCCTATAAAACAGACATTTATTGGTGTTATTTTATTATCCTCTTGGCTTCACCCTACTCCGTACTGGGGGATTTTTTTCACCCACCCATTCTCTCACCAGATGCCCCCCAAGAGAGATGAGGCAGCACTGCAGGAGGAGGAGGAGCTGCAGCTGGCCATTGCCCTTTCCCAAAGTGAGGCAGAGGAGAAGGAGCGGATGGTGGGTTGCACAGCTGAAATTTCCCTTTGTATTTTAAGTGCCTGTTTATAGAGAGAAACTGACACATACCTCTGTGTATACTTACAGAGGCAGAAGAACTCCTACTCAATGTATCCCAAAGCTGATCCCACTCCAGTGACTTCCTCTGCACCACCAGTCAGCACCCTCTACACTTCCCCTGTGGTAAGACCGTCTGGCACACTGAATTGCTTACACTACCAAACATGATTAAAGGTTTAAAGGTCTACCTATTTTGTAACAAATTATTTAAATATGTGTTGTGTAACTAACTATATACTCTCTCCAGAACTCCTCTGCTCCGTCAGCTGAAGATGTAGACCCTGAGGTACATGTTATGTTTAGTAGTCTTTACTTTAATACCTCCATTAAGGCAGACTAATGGACATTTTATCTTGTGCTTATAATACTGATGATCATATGTCACATTATTCCAGCTGGCCCGTTACCTGAACAGAACGTACTGGGAGAAAAAACAGGAAGAGGCTCGCAAGAGTCCCACCCCCTCAGCCCCTGCCCCTGTGCCATTGGCTGAGCCCCTTCCAGCAATCAGCCAGCCTGTAGAAACTCACGTTCCTGTGCAGCCAGTCAGCATAGTGGAGGTATGTTGAAACTTGCTGCTGAGAGCAGATGCATTAGTATTTTTCATGTCTAGCTAAACTGGAGTGGGCAGACCACAAATGACGTTCTGCGCTCTGCTTCCCTCTCTTCCCCACCTTCAGCAGCAGTACCAGAACGGGGAGTCGGAGGAGAACCATGAGCAGTTTCTGAAGGCTCTGCAGAATTCTGTCACCACCTTCCTTAACCGCATGAAGAGCAACCACATGCGTGGGCGCAGCATCACCAATGACAGTGCTGTGCTCTCACTCTTCCAGTCCATCAATAACATGCATCCACAGCTGTTGGACATCCTCAACCAGCTAGATGAGAAGCGATGTGAGTGTTAGCTGTGCATTAGTTGTGTGTCTGTCCTTTCATCCTGCGGGTCCAGTCTCTGAACTATCACATCATGTGTGTTACCTGCAGTGTACTACGAGGGGCTGCAGGACAAGCTGGCTCAAGTGCGCGATGCTCGGGCAGCCCTCAACGCCCTTCGGGACGAACACAGAGAGAAGCTTCGTCGTGCCGCAGAGGAAGCAGAGAGACAGAGGCAGATCCAGCTGGCACAAAAACTGGAGATCATGAGGCAGAAGAAACAGGTCATGAAATGAAGCTCTCTACTGAAAAAGTGCAGATATTCATGCACTGTTCATAACCGTACTCACAGGTGTTTGTCTTTGAACTGCAGGAGTACCTGGAGATGCAAAGACAGCTGGCCATCCAGCGCCTCCAGGAGCAGGAGAAGGAGAGGCAGATGCGTCTGGAGCAGCAGAAGCACACGGTCCAGATGAGAGCCCAAATGCCTGCTTTCTCTCTGCCCTACGCCCAGGTACACACTGCATACACCGTCACCAGCTGTCAGGCTAAACTCATTTTAAAGTCAATGAGTATAGAACATTGGTAAAATCACACAGTGTGAATGGTTTGCATGGTCCTTCAGGTCACCTTAATTCTAATCAGCGGTACATTTTATTCTTTTGGTCTCGTTTTGCCATTGAAAGTGGAGATTTAGACACCGTATTTGCCTCTTTCTGAATAAATGTCTGATAATGTATACTGTATACGCAGATGCAGTCTTTGCCCCCCAATGTGGCAGGAGGGGTTGTGTACCAGCCTGGTGCTCCACCCAGCTACCCGGGCACCTTCAGCCCTGCTGGTTCTGTAGAGGGTTCACCTATGCACAACATCTATATGAACCAGCCTGGGCAGACCGCACCACCACAGTACCAGGCCATGCCTGGTGGTGCAACAGGTGAGGAGGTCAACAGGAAACAAGGAGAAACTTTTAAAATATGCCATGTTTAAGTTTCCTACAGCTTCACATTCAGGAAACATTGGACATGATACTTTAATTTTTAGTGTTCTCCCGTGTGTGTGACCAATTGTCATTTCTTTCTCCAGATCCTAATATGGTCAATGCGTACATGTACCAGGCTGCAGGCACCAATGGGCAGCCTGCTCCTCCTGGTCAAGCTCCGCCCAATACAAGTCCACCCTACTCCAACTATCAGCCCACTCCCACACAGGGTTACCAGGTCTGATTGTCTCTCACTCTTCATTATTACGACACAAACTACCACCAAAATACTCAAATACACATAATCATCCTTCTAACTGTTGTCCCTGTTCTGTGCAGAATGTGGCCTCTCAGGCCCAGAGTATGCCCCCCATGTCCCAGGCGGCCCCAACTAACGGTATGGGTTACATAGGCTACCAGCCATACAGCATGCAGAACATGATTTCAGCACTGCCAGGACAGGACCCCAATATGCCCCCCCAACAGCAGTACATGCCAGGCCAACAGCCCATGTACCAACAGGTCAGCCACTTACTATGTCTTCCTTTGCTACCAGGTGTTCGCAATAAGAAACCCTTGTAAAGACTTTGCACCCTATTAAATTAGCTAGCTATGTTAAACATTAATTGGTATCTTTATTTTTTACTTTTCACAGTATCCAGATTATTTTCATCCTCACTTCCTATTTTTACTTTCCCTTCTTGCCAGGTGGCTCCCCCTGGTGGCCCACAGCAGCAGCAGCAGGCCCCTCAGGCTGTGCCCGGCAGCGCAGAGGCACAGCTCATCTCCTTCGACTAAAAGCCCACACGCTGCAGGCTCTGACACACTACACACTCTCTCCTCCTTTTGGTCTTTCCCCTCACTCTTTGGACTCTGAGGATGTCCTCTGGAAACGCACACCTCCCACTCCCACCTTCCACCTTGCTGTGATGTTGTGGCAATGTAAAATATTGTGATGATGTTGCAGAGCTGTTGCTCTCCTTGCCTCTCCCCACACCGCAGTATGGGGATGTGGGGTGAAGCTGAAAGAGACGGCACCATAACCCAGATCCTTTCACTCTCTTCCTCCCTCTTTCCAGCTGATAATATGTATGTAGAATTTCCTTCTTAAACAAATAACTGAAGCTCAGATATAGTCAGTGGTATTAAAGTTAAAAATGAATAAGAAAATAAAATAATTGAGGAGAGAAAAAAAGACAAGACATAACCATCCTTTGTCTCCATATTTTTCTAAAGCAAAATAATTTGCATGTTAAATTTGTATTGTTTTCTGGAATGGAAATTTAATGATTGCAGCTTATCATCTGTATGTGCTGTTAAAGAGATTGTGGTTGTAGGGATATAGAGTGATGTCTAGGGAGAGAAAGCACGGTCAAAGGCCTGATATAAATGGCTACTAGCTCACATCTCTGTCAGGTTCACAGCTTTCCATTCCAGGTGTGGTTTTCAGTTCCATCCCCTCTCATGCACACACAAACTAGGGTCATCCTATCTTATTTTGGCATTTATTTGTTGTGCACTGCTTGGAATATTCTGTGTCTTTAATGTAGTTTCTTAAATGAAAACAAGACTGACAGAAGCATAGGTCCACAATAACCTTTAATTAACTGCAAATAACCTATGAGCGCCCCTGTGTGCTTTTGGTTATGACTGTCAAAGGTAAAGATAGTACAGGTGGGCAGTCTTTTCTAAAGTATACTTGACTCTCAATAATTGTGCAAATGCTTGCAGAGCAAACATGACGTGCCGCATGTATGTATCACATACCCAATCAGTGATTTCTGTAACTCTTCATTTGCTATCTGTGAACTTCTTTATTCCATCATACTGATCTGTCTGACTTTAAAGTAATTTTAAAATTATATTTAATAAATATCTGGTTCCTATTGTCCACTTGCTTCCTCTTGTTTATGTGTTGTAACCTTGCAGAGGATTTGAAAAGAAAGAGACTCATGGTCACATGATGACTTTTATTCATGTAAACAGTGTTTCATGTCACATTCATACATCAGTAATTGGGGTTTTCAGTTTCTTATACTTCTGTAAAGGCCATAACACTACATTGATGAGTGATACGATCAAAATAAATGTGCTTAAACATACACCTTATTGTATGTGCTTAAAGGTCCAGTGTGTGACATTTAGTGGCATCTTGCGGTGTTGTTGCAGATTACAACTCCCTTGCTTCACCCTCCCATTCCAAGCTGAGAGAAACTACGGGTGGGGCCAGAAACGTGCAAAAAAAAAAACCTGTGAACAGCCCTATATTGAGCCAGTGTTTGGTTTGTCCCTCCTGGGCTACTGTAGAAATATGGTGGCCTCCATTGAAGATGGACCGCAGTGTTTGTAGATATAAAAGGCTCATTCTAAGATAACAAAAACATACTGTTTCCTATATTCAGGTGGTTACACTAATGAAAACATTAAACTTATGAATATTACATTGCATTTCTTCAAATAGACCTTAATAAATGTTATACACTGGAAATTTAAATTAAAAAAATGTTTTTCTTCTTTTGCCTTCTTTAAAGTTTTCTGAAGACAAGGCATTTGTAATAATCTTCCATCTCAATCTGGAAATAAAAACAATACAGGTATAATAGTCATATTTTATTTATTACCAAGTAGTTACCCCAAGCTACAGTATGTGACTCACCATCCTCTCCATACGCATCCCGTTCCCATAGGCCAACTGTCTCAACACGTCGATGTCTGGAAGACCCCACTCTGGATTTCTGTGTAAAAGCATGAAACAAATCTATTTATACTCTACCGGAAAAGCTACACCAGACTGTTGTAGTATATTAAGTGTTAGAGAAAATAAATGCCCACTGTTTACGAAGCTCTGCATCCAGGTCTTCATTACAACTTGGTGTAATAGTTCCATTAATAGCATACACCTGGAACATGTTTAAGATTTGGAAAGGTGGCAGTTGTTAAAGCCCGGTGTGCCAGTACTTTACACTTCACACTCACATGATGAGTGGATAATAAACTTAATGAATGTTGGTACATACCCCATACGTTATCAAATGGCCATTTTGCCTGAGGATCTGACCTGCTCCATTAAAAATACCCTTGGAAAATTATTTTTAAAAAGAACATAAAACAGGTTCTGGGACATTTTAATCATTTAGAAATTGCTGTGTGTTATGGGCCGAAAACAAATGAACAATCACTTTTAGACAAGCAGGCCTACCTGTGCTGTTTTGAAGGTGCTGTATTGCATTAAGTTAATGGTAAGAATCAGATCACAGGAGTTGCGAGGAAGGCCTGCCCATTGCTCCCACGGTTCACTGGCATCCAGGTGGACAGGCTGCAGCACATTCTTTGCATGGGTTGCAGCAATATATGCCTTAATACTGGAAGTAAGTATGCAGACTTAATCCTACATTTTTATTTCATACTCTTATAACTGAATTAGTGCTATTTAATATCCACAAAATTGGAAAATGGCCAACCTGTTTACCCATGATGCTTGCTGTAAAACTACTGTATGACTACTGTACAGCCATTCATCTCGATCATTAATAGTTGACATAATAATTATTGAAAGCCTTTTTCTATAAGACACAAACCTGTCCCGATAATCTTCTTTGATGTCTGATGGCTGCCAGGTGACAAATGCCAGTTTCTGGGCAAAGCGTATGACATGCTGCCCGGTTCCAGAGCCCAGCTCTAAGGCGAACAGCTGCCTGTGGGACTGGTCCTCCAGCACATCTTCGAGCACTGAACATATATCCTCCCAGTTCCTCTCTGCCTGAGGAGACAGCAGCATGATCTGCAGGAGATAAGCAGAAGGACATGTTACACTATCACCATGAATAAATGTTCTCTGTCAGAGATTCCCTCTTACCTCCACTCGTGCTGGCTGAGACTAGCTGGGAAATAGCATATTGGTGGAGGCTGGTTGTGGTGGATGACTGTGACAGCAGATGGGTGCAGAGATTACCTGGTTAAGAGGATTCCCTCTGTGCTCCTCCGTAAGTGTTCAGCACTGGTATAGTACAGGTAGGACACACACACACACACACATACACACACGCACACAGGAAACAGAGACAATTCATACAATGTATCTGAATATTTGGTTGCAAATATTGTCATAAAAAGGTAACAATACAGTCAATAGCATCATCATAATGCATGGGTTGTGAAATACTGTTTACTACCCTCTTGTGCTCATAGTGAAGAGCTGTACCAAAACGTTAAATTGTGGCTAACACTGTTACTCAGTATGTTTTTTATTGTTCTCTGTATTCTCAGACGTGTAAACTGAGGTGGGAAACACTTTCACAAAGGTTTTTTTCTTATTGCAGGACTGTTTATTAGAATAAATCACATGGTAAGTGCTCCATAATGTGTGTTATTAATGCATGTAATGTTAACATTCATTTTAACTAATATCCCAAAAATATAACAATATAATCAGTACAACTTTTTACGACGGAGTATTAGGGCCATACTAAGAAAAGAAAATATTTTTTTTTTTTGGAATTTACGAGAATAAAGTCGTAATATTACTAGAATAAAGTCGTAACATTACGAGAATAAAGTCGTAATATTAGGAGAATAAAGTCGTAATATTGCGAGAATAAAGTCGTAATATTACGAGAATAAAGTCATAATATTACGAGAATAAAGTCGTAATTTTATGAGAACTGTCAGCCTGTTGGCTCAGCCAGCAAAACTGTTTAAGGATGAAATGATCAGTACTTTAGTTTACCTGTTGACTGTACCGACTGAGACAAACAGCAGCTGCTGGGTGGTTGAGCTGCTCACGTCAGATCTTGATAACTATCATTAACTATCAATAACTAATCGAAGTTTTTTTCTCATTAAAACGATTACATTGTTCTCGTATTATTACGACTTTATTCTCGTAACATTATGACTTTATTCTCGTAATTTTTCTCTCGTTGATTTTTCTCAGTATGGCCCTAATACTCCGTCGTAAACACTGGTAACGTTCAAACTAAAGTTACTGATTAATCCTTCGTCCTTAAACAGTTTTGCTGCTGGAGCCAACACGGCTGACAGTTCTTCATAAACCATTACTACTTTTTCTCGTAATATTACGACTTTTATTGTCGCAATATTACGACTTATTCTCGCGAGTATTATGACTTTATTCTCGTAAACTATTACGAACTTTATTCTGGAATAATGCATATCTCTCGTCAATGTTACGACATTTATTTCATAAATTCATGACTTTATTTGCTCGTGAGACCTAGGTTCAATATTACGACTCTATTCTCCGCCCAAGCTATTTATGCTATATATTTCTCCTAATATTACGATTTTATTCTCGTCAATATTACGACTTTATTCTCCGCACAATACTCTATTCTCGCAATATCTACGACTATATTCTGTACATACCTTATATCTCGGCACATGTTACCGACTTTATCTCCTCAGTAACTAATTATGACTTTATTCTCGTAGACCATACGGCTAACTATTACGACTTAATTCTCGTAATATTACGACTTATTCTTCGTAATATTACGGACTCTATTCTCGCAAAATCCTAATGACTTTCATTCCTAGTAATATTATGACTTCTTGATTTAGGTAATATTATGAGCGTTTCATTCTCGTATTTCCAAAAAAAAAAAAAAAGTTTTTCTTTAAGTATGGCCCTAATACTCCGTCGTAACTTTTAGTATTTCCTCCATTCATTTATGTCCCTTATGGGCTCCCGTAGCTTTCCTAACAGATCGCGTAATGCATTGTGGGTAGGTCAGAAGCCGAGAGGACGCCATGTGCTTTTGAGGCAGAGAGGTGTGCAGAGAAAGGAGATCTATCTGTGCCACACTTGTGTTTTTAAGAGGGGACAGCGGGATAAAGCAGTTTGCGTTAACATGTACTGCAGCAGACACTGCCTCCGGACCGCGCTGCGGGCTGCAGCGGGCACACACCGGTACGTAACGTCAACCGAGCGGCACCGGGCTGTCACGTAACACCGGAGCCGGCGGTAACGGCGCAGCAGAGGCTCGACTGTCTGCTTCTTCAAGGGCAGACCGCCGCTGACTGCTGCCGGTTGTCCTGGTTGTTAGACACGCTGCGGCTCCCGTAGTTCGTGTAAATGTAAAAGATGTGTTGAAAGTGAGTTCAATGTGCTGGCGGCTGCGTGTTAGCTGAGGTTAGCTCAGTAACTTTAGCTACTACTAACTGTGCACCTTTTTTTTATTTTTTATTACCGTAATCCAGTATTTTATGAAACGCTTTGTCCTCAATTTAAGTTAAGTTGTTAAAAAAGAAAACTCCACAAATGGAGGGATCGTTTTCCTTTCCCAATCTCCTCCATTAAGCAGCTATGTTCCTGACAGCCAAGGTCACACTCGTGTAACTTAAAATTCCGGGTTTTGCTGGTCAAGCTGCATCTCTTGAGTTTGTTCGTGTACTCTTACTATGTACTATGAACACGTGTGTGAATATATATATTTATATATTGTATATTAAGGAACCAAGTGGAACCACCAGAGCTGACAGTAATAGCTGCACTCATCCGAGAGCAGTGGGTCCCATCCTGGTGTAACCCCCCCACAGCAGCCTTAGGATATATCTGAGGGGTCACAAGGTTAGGAGATCTTAAACCCCGTAATTAAGCTTTTTTTAAAGGACTTTAACGATAAATGTATTCCTTCCTTCATTCATTATCATGTTATGTGCTGATTATTTTCTGGATTTCCTTAACCAGAGAGTCATATCTTTAAACTGCTTGTTCTGACAGACCACAACACAAGTACGAACCTTAAATATTGCCTCCAGACATGTATTAAGATGTATATAAATAGTCTGCTTGGAATAATAATTTAAAAAAAGCATTAATTTCCTCATTAAAATCCTTAAAAATGGCATGTACTCTAAGTTCAGAATCTATAAATATGTAATTTGTCCTGCCAGACACAAGATGTTTCCTCCTCCTACGTCACACTTGTATTTAGTACACTGAACCAAGAGTTGACTTAAAAATGATTTGAGGTCACAAATCATGCTCGTGCACCCTCCTCTTAACATCAGATTTCCAGAGAAACCTTCAGCAGATGACTGTGAAAACATCCTTCTAGTGTCCAACCCTGCACATACATCATTCTGCACTGTGGAGCTCAAACATCCCAACTTTAGGAACAAGGAGAAACACACTTTTGATTGAAAGAGGACTTTAAGATATGAAGTGTACGTTAAACACAGAGATGCAACAAATCCTCAGAATTGAGAAGCTAGGGAACTAGGGAATGAGAAGAGTGAAATGATTTATTAGTTATCAGAATAGTTTCTCATTAATTCTCCTTCAGATACATTTTGATGCCAGACGCGAACTGCAGATGAGTTCTCACCTGGGTCTTTTCTATATCTAGATACACAGTCCGTCTTGAGCTCTTAAGGAACCAGACACAGTCAGCTGTTGAGATAATCCATTTTCATTTTCCAGGCAACAGCTTCAGAGGCAAGCACCGGCCCTGTGTGCTCTCAGACTTCTGAAGACCAGTCCGATCACCCACTCAGATGCCATCGCCACCCCTCCACTAGACGGATCACCCAAACAGTATTCGCCGAAAATCCAACAGCTCGTCAATGACATAGCCAGCCTCACTTTATTAGAGGTGTCGGACCTCAACGAGCTCCTCAAGGTGCGTGGGAAAAGTCCTGAAATGCTCAATCGAAACCATGCAATGCCTTGTCAGATAGATTGTTGTGATCCATCTGTGGTGTTTTTCTTTGTTTTTGCAGAAAACTCTGAACATTCAGGATGTTGGAATGATGCCGATGGCTGCATCAGCTGTTCCTGCGGCTCAGGTGACTGATTTTTTAAATGAAGTACAGAGAGTAGACAATATAACTGGGACACATTTCAATAAAACCACATCTACTACAACACCCATCATAAACTACTTCTCTGACACAGGATCTCCATATTTTATCACTCTGAGTTTACTGATGTCTTCTTATTTAATCAACAATTATTGCCCACTACTTATTGAGTAGCAGCTAATAGTTGCCGTACAAATGCATAAATAAATTTGCAAATTGTTTCCTTGTTGAAAATAGGCCACAGAAGAGGAGGTGGAACCGGTTAAGAATGAGCAGACTCACTTCACAGTAAAATTGACAGAATTTAAGGCAGCTGAAAAAGTCAAGCTTATAAAGGAAGTGAAGAATTGCATCCAAGGCTTGAATCTGGTTCAGGTAAGTCTCATCATTATTAAGTCCCCAGTACTGAGCCGAGTTATTTAAAGTTAGTAACACTGAGGCGCAGTGACTGCTGGTTAACACTCGGTGGCAGTAACATGCCAAGAAATGAAACAAGGCACCAACACAGGCGAAGCAGAGGAGTTCGCAAACGCCATATAAACGACAAATATTTGGCAGAATTGGCTTTGCAAGTCTGTTAGACGCCTAGTGTTTTGGACACAGTGTTAAATGCTGAATGTAAACAGAAACTTTGCTCACAAGAACACTCCACAGGACACCTTAATACTTAGTACTTTCAGCTACTACAGACTCTTGATCCAATATGTTTTTTTAATATTCCTACAGAGTACAGCTGCATAGTGCCTAAAGCCAACATATAACAACATATGGCTCAATAAAATATAGTCTTTGTCACAGCTTTCCTTTAATGGTCTCCTATGGAGTATGTCCTACAGTGGCCTATGGTGTTTGGTGTAATATCTGTGGAAGCATGAATGTCAGCTTCTCTTCACCTCTATCTATCTATCTATCTATCTATCTATCTATCTATCTATGTAGCTGTTGATATAGAGAGATATAGATGATTCACTGAAACACGTTTCTGTTATATTTTTTTGTTCTGCTTCATTGTTAAGCTGCATTCAACAGAGTTGGAACAGGTTCCACTCTTTTCTTATGAGTCTAATATGGTCTTAATGACAGCTGACTTGTATCTGGAGCGTAATTGTTTATTATTAATAAAGATTCAAGTTTGAGTCGACTTACTCAAAAGACAAAAATGTAGATGATTCCCTACCAATGGTGCGTATTGGCTCAGGACAGGATCTAACTTCCCGTTTTCACAGGTTTGGTAACGTCACTAAAATCTTGTTTTTCCTCTCTCCTTCTTTCACCAGGCTAAGAAACTAGTGGAGTCTCTTCCCCAGGAAATTCGAGCCAATGTGTCCAAAGAAGAAGCAGAGAAACTTAAAGCAGCGCTGGAGGCAGCAGGCGGCACTGTGGCGTTGGAGTAGATCTTCTCATTCAGCATTTTGCTGCTCATGCACTTCGTCGTTCACCCTATTATTGATTTTTCTTTTTTACATGACAAAGAGGAGGATCCCAGGAGAAAAAGGAAACAAATGCCTTCTGACATCAATACTGTGTTAACAGCGTCAGGCGGGGCGGCACAACTCCAACTGAACTTTCCAGGCACACAGCCTTCACAAATGGCCGCCTCGCTGTTTCCTTGTCCATTTGTCTGCCTGATACTTGTGTAGCAAATAAGCTACAGAAACACTGGCCTGGGTGCCAAGTAAGTCAGTTGGTCATTCTGTGTGTGTGTGTATGTTAAACTTTTCACAGAAGAAAGGATTATGCTGAGACATGGTTACCATTCCCTTTGTTGAGCAACACCAGATACTGTATGTAGTTCAGGGAATGGCAGGGCCTCATTGCTTATAGAATTGTTGATAATGTGATTAAAGTTGAAATACTCATATTTCTCCTGCTGTTATGTGTTCTTGTAGTGAATGATGAGAATGAAATCCATGTAATGTCTGTGGTGCTTTCTTAAACATATCTGGCATTACTGAAACTGGAAATGTGTGTATTGTATTGGATTGAAGAAGTGAAAATGTTATCCTAGTTGATTGCATCCTGCTGTACTGCTGCTGACCACTAGAGGTCCTAAGATCTCTTTTCAATCAACTCAGACAGAATGAGAGTGGTTGTTTGAATGTTCGTTATTATGCTTATTTTTGACATGAACAGAAACCACTTGCTGTCCTGAAAGAGAGGAATGCAGTTTAAAGACTTGTGGTAATTTATGCTGTAGTTGGATTTGCATGTAAAACCAGCTGATTTAAAAGTATACAGTAAATTAGCATTGAACTGTTTATCTTAAACATTAATCTCTAGTCATTTTGGTTAAAGGTACACCTGAGTTTATCTCGAACAATAACAATTACAATTACTAACAGATGCTCTGTTCTATTAAAGTGCTCCAGTAAGCTTTGCAATAAACCAGCATGCACAATACCACAATCCTTTAAATTAAGCAACTAAATGGAATTCAGCCACTGATGTCAAACATGCCCCCTACGTAGATTAGCTGGGCCTTTGTGTCGGTTTATTGAGAACTGACTATTCTCCAACATACTCTTTAAGAGTCATTTTATTATGTTAAAACTTACATGAATATGGTGGAGGTATTTTCTGATGAACACGTGGTACTTTTGTTGTAAATTGCCACCAGGTGGCGTAGTCTATATTTAAAGCTGCATGACAAAACCTAGGTTGAAATGCTAATAAAATCTAAGTGTGCGGTCATCCTCTCTTTATAATATGTCACACTCCAGAAGTTATTTTGAGCATCTGTTAGATGACTTAAGTTATCGCAGTTAATCTATTAATATGTGGTGAATGCTGTTTCAGAGAGTTCAGGAGATCAAACTGGAATCTGTGGTCTATGTGTGTTTATTGGGATATAAATACACCTGCATGGTTTATCTACTTCATCAGTAAGGGGTTGCATTACCTATTTTTGTAGGATAATAGGACTAAATCCTGATTAGGTCCACATAAACACCATGTGGGTTACATTTGGATTTCATTAATAGCCCACATAAAAATTTATAGGAATAAGCCCAGGGCTCATTTTAACAAAACAATATGTGGTGTGCACGTCAGTCAACAACCTTATTAGACTGTGAGAGCTTAAGCCAGAGAAATTTAAGCCTGATGCTGAGTTATTTTCCTTTTTCAATACCGAAGAGTCTGTTGAAGTGCGCCTTCCAAAAAAAGGTACCCCACAAGGAGGATAATTTGCCCAGGAAAAACATGGAGAAAATTACATACATTTATTTTACCATCAGGGAAAAAAAAAAAATACTCAAATAGAAATGCTTAAATTCAAAGGTTGAATGCAAAATCTGAATCACCAAACATGGAAAAATGGCGTGAAAAAGAGCATGAATGGAAATGCTTAAATTAAAAAAGAATCATAAAAAAAAGAAAATGTCTTAATAAAATGATTTTCTGCCATTGATTTCTAAGTGTATGTAAATGAGGAGGTTTGTCCTAAAGTGGTGAGGGGACCATAAACACCATGAACACCAGGGGGAGTGTGGAGCTCACTCATCAGAGGAGTAAAACCAAGGAGGTTTACGCCTCAGCATGAGGTGGAAAAAAGTGAATCTGCATATGTTTTTGTTTCCCTACCTTAACTCAGTCAAATATGATGTCATTTGAACCTGTTTTTTTTTATTTGTATAGGCCTTTTTCACAGCAGCCATAGTAAGAAAAGCACAGGTGTTACTAATAACATTAACAATGGCTCCCTTTTATTCAATAGTCCCTGTAAGCCATGACAGTGTCCAGGACCCTGAAAATGAAGAAGCTAAATGGAATTCAGCCATCAGTCATTTTATTATTTACACCAGCTCTTTTCCTACTGTGACATGTCAAAATGTCTTCTGTGAGAAAAAAGCCCCGTTGTTAAAAGGCAGCAGAGAGGAAGAACAGAGTGTTGCAGACGATGTGTAGGGATGTAACACGAGGACAAAGCCTGGCACACAACTGACTGCAAAACTGCGTGAAGGGCGTGTATTATAAACAGCTTATACAATCTCCCCAGAGTGAGCAAACTGTAAATTCAGCCCTGGTCAAGATTCAAGATTAACTTTATTGTCATTCAGACAGGACAAGTGCACAGTAGAATGAAATAACGTTGCATCCGGCTCACGAATGGAAGTGAAAAATACTATAAAAACAGACAAAATGTGACGATTAATAAAATAATGATATAAATATACTTTGAAGAAACATGAGTACATTGTAAACACTGAATACAATTGGTGAAAATTGTCCTGATGTGCTGAGAAGAAACCCTGCTCTGTTAGTGATAATGGATTCAGGCTGCTTTGTAGTACTGAGACAGTAACTTGGATCGCTGCAGGAAGGCGGCACATGAAATCAAATCCAATTACAAGTTTAACTGACTATAGAAATAACAGCCAAAGATCAAACTACATGTAAAAGATTCAATCTCTGCAGGTAATTTAGAGGAACATTCAAGCGGGCTTTTGGGCATTTTACTCCAGCCAAAATCCAAATCTGAACATGCACAATATTAAATTATGAAACCTTGTTTACTTCAAATTTAAATGTAAACTCAGGCCATTCATCATAATGTAACTTATATCTTATCTGGATATAACAGCTTGTATACATTTAAAGACATAGACTGGTATGCAGTGGGAATATTGTAGATAAATGAAACTAGATAAAACCAGTTGGACTACTGACAGCGGACACAGGACAGAAACCGGATTCAGAATACTATCATTGGCTGTCATTACACGTGTCTGCATGTGTTAGATCCTTCAGCAGCAAGAGCTCATGTATTGCCTTTTGCTCTTACTTGGAATGGGTGTCCAGTTACTGTTTCTGTCATCTGTCATGGCTCCCCCCCTCCCTCTGAGTCAGCACGCACAGAGCAGTGCCAGGCTGCCCATTCATACCACTGCTGCAACACTCATTTATAATCATGTCATGCTTAAGAACCGACACAGACATTAGGGCTTTAGAGGCTTCGGTAAAACATAGAAACGACTTAATAACAGTATTAAAAACTGCTGTTGAACGTGAATATGAAATAAGAGTGGAGGCATGCAGTATGGTTTTGACCTCATGACCCTTTGTGACCCTGAGACTGAGTGGTGAATGGGAAGGCATCGTCTATTCTTAACAAATATTTGTTTGAACTTTGTGACCTTTGATCCGTGTTAGTCGAAATCCTTGGCTGATGCCATACCACATTCACAATACTACAGCAGCAAGTCAAGCTGACTTACTATTTTTATATTAGTCACGTACACTTCCTCCCACAAACCAGCTGCACCCCTTTTCTTGGCACAGAAAGATGGAGCAAGTTCGAAGGCTCTGTGCTTACTCCTCTCGACAAGTTTAGCCATGTGTTAATCCACAATGCCCAGCTCTTTCTGAGAAACAAAAATGCAGGTTTACATAATGGACACTGAGTTTGTTTATTGTGCATTTAACATGAACGGCTTCCAGCCATCACTGGTAGTGTTGAGGGAAAAGGAGAAAGAGAGCACCCTTGGACGAAGTTGTCCCAGCAACCTTTGAGAAGCCGACACTTAGCCGTCTTCCTTTTGGACTTTGTTTCAGTGACAACATGCAGGAGAATCGTATTTCTCGTTGGTATTTTGGTGGAGTCTCCTCCAGCGCAGCCGCCTGTTTAACGCACCCACTGGATTTAATTAAGGTAAAATATGGAGTTAATTGATTTTTTAATTTAATTACCACTGTAGCACAATTTGTTTCCCTTAAAGAAAGTAAGAAAATTATCCAATTAGGCCTCATTCATCTGTCTGGGGTGTTTTTCACATGTGCCTCTGGATTGCATTGTGGAAAATGTTAATAAAATTATATTCTTTAAAGGTCTATTATCTGCTCTTTTCCTGTTGACACCAACTTTGGGAATAGCTTGCTGTTATATGGCGATGATTCAGTTTACCTAATTACCTAAATAACCTTCATAGGACCATCAATAGGCTTGTTTGGTTGTTTGAAGTACATGAAATGATGAAAGAAACAGGTCTACTTCAATTTTGTATTTCCTACTCCTATTATCCTGCTATTGAATTGATTTTCTTTCATTCAGCGTGCTGACTGAATCTTTGTGGCGTTGTTTAGAATAGGCTGCTGACATTACCCATGAATATCACCTTGAGTTAAGAACCAATTCTGTTTGCTTGTTGTTACTGCTTAAGACAGGAAGCGACTTTGTTGACTTACTACTGTCACTTTGCACATGTGCAGGTAGTTGTTCCTCTCACTAAATGTGTGACTGACCCTCATCGCTGCTTCCATGTGGTCATTTCCAGGTGCACTTACAGACGCAGCAGGAGGTGAGGGTGAGGATGATCGGGATGACTGTTAATGTGGTGAGGAGAGAAGGTTATCTGGCTCTCTACAGCGGCCTCAGTGCGTCTCTCTGTCGGCAGGTGGAAAACTACACACACACCCACATTGAATGCTCCACTCACTGCACAAGTTTGGATAGATATCTTTCTCTCTTTTTTCTTTCTTTCTTTCTTTCTTTCTTTCTTTCTTTCTTTCTTTCTCTTAGATGACATATTCTTTGTCACGGTTTGCCATTTATGAGACCGTCAGGGACAAGATGAACAGAAAGAACCAAGGTTTCATACCTTTCTACCAGAAAGTCCTGCTCGGTGCCTTTGGAGGTATGTGTTGATCCGTATTTGGCATGTTAGTCTATATTTTCTTTCATTATTTTATATGTTTTCTCCAACAGGGTTTGCAGGTGGTTTCATCGGGACCCCAGCTGATCTGGTGAATGTCCGGTGAGTTAAGTGGATAGATAAAATTTTTTAAAGAGGTTTTTAAAATTTTGTTTATGACGTTGAACTCTTTTGTACTTCACATTATTAATGTAGAAGTAGTTGTTCACCGGGAAGAAATCACAACCTGCACTTTGACTTTTATTGTACAACGTAGTGATACTATTGCACTACTGTTGAGGTGCACAGTATTCTGCTCAAATCTAACATAAAAAGATTTTCAGCACTGAAACAATAAATAAATCAACAACACTTCTGTACTAAAAAGGTAATTCCCTCCCTTTTAAATTTTCATGTAGCGGACATACAAAGTAGTACTGCAATATGAAATTCAAAATGGAAAAGATACAACCTTTAATGCTCAGCGTTCAAGTTTGACAGGCCAATTTCCACTGAATTCAATAAAGAGATAATGACTATGAAGATTACTCATCCTGACATTTAATTGACTTTAATCTGTCATCTGCGCAGGATGCAGAATGATGTCAAATTGCCGGTAGAGCTCAGGAGAAAGTAAGTGAAATTTTAAATGTATATACTTCTTTTTCAGATCTTTTTTATTTAGTGAAAATTGTCTGTGGTCACATACAAATCACCACATTGTAAGATTTTTTTCCTTATACCAGTTATGCTCATGCGCTAGACGGACTATTACGTGTTTGGAAGGAGGGTAAGATTTTCTTACTTTACAGTACAGCTGAACTTTTTGAACATTGCGGCATACAAGAAAAAGGTTCTTCAGTTGCAAAAAAAACGCTCAATTTGTTACATTTCCAAATGTTTCATATGTGACATGACTGTTGACATTTTTACTCCTACCCCATGAATTCAACAGTAAACCTTTTTTACATTGCCTACTTCTTCCTTCATATGTTCTCCATGCTGACGTTTAATTTGCAGAGGGTGTGAGGAAACTGTTCTCTGGTGCCACAGTAGCATCTGCTAGGGGTGCACTGGTGTCTGTCGGACAGGTAAAGACCTCTGTGTTATATAACCATTACATCACAAAAACACTACTATACTGTATTTTGCAGTATGTTATTATTATATATATATATATTGCCCTTGCAGCTGTCCTGTTACGACCAGTCCAAGCAGTTGGTTCTGGCTACTGGTTACCTGACTGACAATATCCTCACTCACTTCCTGGCCAGTGTATTTGCGGTAAGTTACTCAATCACTGTCACTGTTTAATTAAAATTGCCACATAATAAGACAGCTTTTTATCCTTTTCTACGCAGGGGGGATGTGCCACAGTCCTGTGCCAACCACTTGATGTTGTTAAAACAAGACTAATGAACTCAAAACTGGAATATGGGGTGAGTTTGTGTACATGCTGTCATGTGATTTAAATTTAGCTGGACAGAATGTTTGGGGTTACTTGGGGCATCTCTCTTGGTCTCTCATCACCCTGACATATATGTTTTATTCATGGGCTGAGGGGAGAATTACACAGCTTATCTTAGTTTTTGTATCTCCTTGTTGCAGGGTGTGTTTCACTGTCTAACAGAAACAGCAAAACTGGGCCCGAAGGCATTTTACAAGGTGGATGTCACCTCCAAGACGATGTGATGTTTTACATGGCTCCTTCCAGTCAAAAACATGTTAATTGCTGTATTTTAAACAACTTTTCTCTTGCTGACATAATGATATGATTTGTGTGTAGGGTCTTGTTCCTGCAGCAATCCGTCTCATCCCTCACACGGTCTTCACCTTCATATTCCTCGAACAATTGAGGCAGCATTTCGGTGCCGTGGCTGTCACCTGAGAAGAATGAAGTAAAAAAAATTAAAAAAAGTTTTTACAATTGCAGTGGTTCTCTGGGCTGGATAGTTTCATCACTGATGCTACAGTGTCCACTACATACCACTAATACCAAGAACCAAGAAGAAGTTGCCTTAAAAGATCGATTTTCATTTCTATCATCTGTAACACAAAATGAAAGCGACTCACATAATCAATCACATTATCTCACATAAATGTCATATATGTATCAGTTTGTGTTTTAACTTTAACATTTCCCCATTATGACCCATGACCTGTGATGAACTATACAACTACCAATCTGACATAAGGGTTTTGGAAGGAAGGTTTTGTTTTTTACTTTAAGCCAGAGTTCTGTGGAGAGGAAACTGCTTTTTAAGTTGATATCAACTGATAAATCTACTAATACTAGGCCTTCTTTGCCCTCTGGGTGTGACACTGAAAAAATAGTGTGCCTATGTTTATAATCTTCTATGTATTTGTTTGTAATGATTGCAGAATTTGAGCATATCTATACCAGACAGTTTTTGGTGACCACTGCCACAAACAAGATTAGTTATTTTCATATTGTGGAAAGTGTGATGAGAAGACATTACTATGGTGGCTCAGAGGTGTCAAACAAAGTGCAAAAGCCACAACACGAATGCAAAAGCCAGAAGTGATGCAGTGGTAAGAGTGCCCACCTATGCATCATTCAGGTCCCTTACCACTCCCCATCAAATCAAAAGTGGGCTAGTTGTTTTTCCTAAACATGTATCATTGTCATTTTTATAAATTACTATAAAAATAATCTAAAATTCTGGCTTTTGCATTCATGTTGTGGCTTTTTTCGACACCTCTGGGGCAGGTTTTAGATCCCTTTCTGATAAGTAAAAATGCTGTACCTTACATCAGTAAAAAGAGAATAATAAAACTAAAAATCTATCCATATCTGCTTATGGGCCTTGTTGATAATTTTTGCCTTTGCTGAGTTTCAGACAGTCACGCTGCCTGTCAGGTCTCCTCTCTCTTGAAGAGGAATACTGGCAGGTTCAGGGTGTACTAGCATGAACAAAAGCTCCCAATTAGGTACACTTTTAATACAATATGACTGCTTTTAAGAGGGCAATCAGCAGCTTTTTAAAATAGGAGGCTTTTGAAACAATGTTCAACTGAAGATATGCATTTTTTGACTCTGAGAAAAGAAAGAGTTGTGAGTCTTGGTTCAGTAGCAGTATGTGGGTTTGCGGCTTCTTCTTATTTTATATTGTTCCAGGTATTATTTTCCAAGTATCACCTCTTGCAGTGATGCACAATCCATCATGTTCAGCTCTATAGGACACCTGATATTTTTCCATGTCCCACAGTTTACTTATTGTCTATATCGATGTCAGTATTTGAGCGATGATGGTTTTCTTCAGGGTCAAACTCGTGACAGCTCCGCTTTTGATGCTTCTTTTTTATGATGTAAAAGTAAAGAAAAAAGACAGCTCAACTTTCTTACTGCCTGTTGAATGACAGATATCAACAAGAGATGAATGTGTATGGGGAGGAATATATCCAAATCAACTCGTTTGACAGAGAATATGACTTTGTTGGTTACAGTGTGGGACTCTTAAGTTGCTTAATGGACAGGTTACATAATTCTGTTAGACCTGTGCAAAAAGTCACCTAATGGCGAGACAGTTATCATCTGTGGTTGTCATGGAGCTCGCTGAAAGAGCAGCTTGATAACATAGGTTGGTAATGACACATAATGCACCATATAAGAACGGTACGTCTGGGTCTGTCTCTTTCTTTTTCAGTGTATGTCCTGCTTTATTTTCTAGTGAAGCCACACACGCAGATTTGTGGTTTCCTCTTTATCAGGCACTCTATCACTGATAGAATACAGACTGACCACTGCACTGGAAAACATCCATTGAGGCTAATGATGTCCATGCACACAGACACAGACAAAGAGGCATAAGTACATACCTTTGTTCCCTTCTGTTTCTGTCTTCTTTTCTGGAAAAGAGGAGAAAGAGACCTCAAACTTTGGTTTCAAGCTGAGAACTGACAGACGGAATATTTTGGAACTGAAAACAGGAACAGAATTTGAAATTTCAAACTGTATTTATTGTTATACCAGATGTTGCGAGTGTGATGTGTCAACACAAGGAAAAATGATTTGTAGATGTGATTTTTTACCTGATAGGATGCTCTCTGTGTATATGCAAACATGCTTCTAGCTTTCTGTAATCCTCTGAATAACTTTCAGTCACTGTGAAGGTCTTATCATACACAGCATATTCCTCTCTCACAGAGAAACATGCCCTGTGAAAATACAAAGACCAAAGAGAGCAATATTGACAGCTGAAAAACATGCAAAGGACAGGCATTCAATTTCATGGTGCTGAGATAGGAGCATTAACAAGGTTTCTGTTTTACTGTTTTAATAATAAACACTGATGAGATAGTTGCCTCTTAATGGAAAGTCAACACCAAAACTTTTTACGACTTACAGTATTTCTCTTACCAGTATGAGGATCACAGAAGCCAAAACTTAATTACAAAGTAGAGGTTTTGTGGCTTTTATGGTTTTACTGTCAAATTCAAAATAGTCTAGAAGTTGAGTGAATTAGAAAGCTGAAATACTGAAAATGTGTATTTTAATACTACTACTCGAATCAGAATCAGGTAATGATATTTTCAGCTACAGTGGATCTGCAGCCTTTCTATATAAATGGCTTATGAATTATATAAATGAATAAAGTAGCTTTCACTTTTTAGGCTGACATTTCTTTAAAAAATGATGAGGGTCTGCTGGGAAAGATATCTTCTTCAAACTCTTCTGCGGCCCATAAAAGGGAAACATATGCTGAGAAGACAATGTTTACTTAAACTGTGACCGTCCTCAACATTCCCCATCCATCAATAAATGTTTGTCAATTACTACACTATTTACAGTAATTTGCATCCACGTTTAAAACTTTCTGGGTCACAAACTCATTTAATAAATGTATATCCCACACCATTGCCATGCACCTGTTAATAATTTAATGCACTAGAGATTTATCTAATTGCATTACATTTCCACATTCTCATGTGTGTGATGAGTCCCAGTGGGACAACAAACATCCCTTTGATTCACATGTTGCCTTAATTTGATTCAATTCAAACTAAATTCACTGCAAACACAAACTTGCTGAGTATAGCTGCTGTTTTCGGGCAGATTGGTGTAAATACTGAGGAGCTTTGCTTCCTGATGCACCTCTGTTGGTCCCTCTGGACTAGCCGCAGGGTAATTAGCCAGGGGGCTACCACTTCTCACTGTTTGACCTCTTAAACCCAGGAGCATCACCAGGCCAAAATGTCAGACCTTAGGGAGGGGAAAAACGGTGAAGCTGCCAATTGACACACACAACACCTCACCGGAAAAGCAATACAATTATAGTTTAGCAACCAGAATGGCAGGCCTGTTGAGTGTTGGATTTCTCCACATCTTGAAGTGATGTACAAGAATGGATGGAGCCGATGAGGTCGTGTATTCGCCATTTGATGTTTTATGCCAGTGCAGGACTTGGTCATGGCACCACCTGCACTACCCCTGGGTCAGCCCTGACAGGTTGTGCTGGGAGCTGCTGCCATACCACTTTCCCAAAGTGTTTTAAATCGGCTTTGTAAGACCAAATGTGTGCAACAGAAAAGCCATAAATCTGTGAAATTACATTTAAACAAGAAAATTGCCAAAACTGCAGTTCCCAGGTTTTAACTTGACGACAGTGATATGCCTCTCTTGCTCTCTCTTGAGGTATATTGTTGCCGGTTTCTCCCTGGGTGGTAACAGTGCTGATCTCAATTGGTTTGGAACGATGGCAGAGTTGAGAGAATGAGCGATGGTTTCACATTATGGAAAAGTTTGTGGGATGGAGAGTGGGAGCCAGGTTTTTCTCTCGAGGTCTGACTGTAAATCTAAGCCTACGTGCTTCTTCTCTCTCCTCTCCGGCCTCCAGCTCTTTGCAGCCAGCCAGAATAGCAATCTTCAGACAAACAGGAACTAAAGCCAAGGGGGTGGATGTCACAAAGACATTATAAGGAAGATAGTGAGTGTTGTGACTGCCAGAGTATTAGATTTCTGCATTTGGTCCAGAATCAAGCCAGCAACAAACATATCAGAAACTTCACAACTTGATTTTTCTGTCCCTCACATCAGTATTATACAAATCTAAGCACAGCTTGTGGTTTATGTAGCTATGTAAATTTAAAAACCGATCTTTTAACCAGGAATTAGTCCAAATTACAAACAAAAGATGCTAAATTGTACATTTAACTCTGTGTTCTCTCTTTGAATTATTTTTTTGTAATTGCGGAGCGCAGTTTAGTTTTCTTTCTATCTGACAGCAAAATTACAGTGCGGTCTCAGAGTCAGTGGCCAGTCGGGAAAAAAAGAGCAAAACAAAAGACTGCTGCTCACTGTTATGACTGCTAATGATAATGAGGAAGATGAAAAACCCAGCAGGTTGTGTTCTCGGTCAGATCATAGGAAAGAAACAATGGGGCTATTAGTCTGTAATGTCAGATATGTTTTGCAGAATTTCTTGTTTTTGTTTTAAAAAGACTAACAAAGGATATTTAGCCCTCTACGATTCTGTCCTCCAGCCTTAGAAAGGGCAGACATGACTCCTACATCCAAAATAACAACAGCCGCAGTAATGGAGACATGTTATATCCAAACGTTCAAGGTACATTTTCCCTGTCAGACCAATTTAGTGTTTGCCTTAATTTCAGTCCATTTCAGCTTGTGCAACAGGAAGTGAAGTTACAAAACAAAAATGATGAACTGTGGGGGTTTGCATTTATCAAAATGCTTAATAACATCAGTGGACGCACAGAAGCTATTAGTGGACCAAGGTAATCATATTGCTTACCAACCCGATATAGCCTCGACACTGAGTCAGTGACACTGAACCCTTTGGCTTTCCTATAATAGAGGCATGACTACAACAATAGAGAGTGGAAAGAACTCGAATTAAAATAAAAAACAAAAATCCCTCGATAATGTAATGCACTTGTTTTTGCTCTAAATTTCACTTGAGATTAGAAATTTGTGATAAACAGCAAAGTTCAGTCATGCAGGTCTGTATCTCCTCTGAAAGAAGGAGGAGGTAAAGTAAGTTTATCTCATGCTTTTTATTCTCTCTTGTCTTCCCTCAGGGGACGTCATTATATAAAGACTCACATTAAAGTTACAATAAATCACATGAATTTCTTCAGCCGTCCTGAAAGGGCTGAATGCATGATAATTATCTAAAAAATCTAAATATACTTGCTATGCAACATGCAGATTCAATAGCTTTAAGGTTTTGGTTGAATTTATTGTGGACAAATAGTACAGCTGTACATGATAATACAGCTCACACTGTTAAACTCTTAAACATATTGAAAGTAAACTGATTAATGAGCCGACACCTACAGTGTTACATATGTTCTTACACATGAATGACTTGCAGATGTCCCACGCTGGTATGCAGCTCTTATTGCCGTAGTAATAATCTGGAGACAGCTGCTTTAAGATGAAATATTGTGCACTTCACCAATGTATTTTAATCTTGGCTAGTTCATCAGCCTCTGTTAAAAAACAATTTGGTGTTGAACTGGGAGCTATTTTGATAATTGATGGGGCATGATCTCATTACAGTAAGTGTTGAGGTTGAAGGCTATCGAGTTGGTTCCAGTGGCTGGTTACTTTGGAGAGAGCGGAGGCATCAGCTCTGTACACTGTGTACCGACAGTGTGGTCAGAGCGGTTTTTCCCCCCCAGCAGGATATGTTGTTTTCGCCTCCTACCCAAATGTTAGAGCACTTTCCCATCAAATCTGTCTTCAAGTCTGTATGATCAAGCTATACTTCTGACCAGGAAAAAATATTGGTACTGTGATTGCATTTAATCTATCTGCATTTGGC